CCAAAGTTAGATCATTTAGGAGACGGGCTGCTTCCCCTCTGTCTTGGCAGACGTATCCTGACAGGGGTACTGTATCCTAGCAAAGAGATCGTGTTTCTCGATAAAAGGGTTCCTCAATGAGGAATCGAACTAATGTCTTCTGCGTACGACGGCGAAGACTCTAACCTTTACACCGTAGACTTTCGTTGGGGGGTTCTCGTGGCCTAGAGGTTACAGTGTTCGCCTCACATTCAATAGGTCCCGGGTTCGAATCCGCATTGCGACGGATAATTTTTTTTCGCTAAAATTTCTCCTTTCACCTCATTTCCTGCTCTCCAACCATGTTCTGTCGCCCGCTTTCGTCTCCTCTTTCTGCCCCCACCCCCTCACCCCCTATGCCCTCTTCTCTGGGCTCCTGACTCTTTCTGCAGCCTTTCAACTGCTACTCCTTGGCTTATTCTTACTGCTGTCTTCCAGCCACACCCCTGATCTTATGGTAGGTAAGATCTAACATCTAGCCTTCTCGGATAAGGGCGAAAAATCACGGAGGTCTCGTGTGCAAGCTGCGCACGTTAAATCATTTGGTGGTCCAAAATCGATAAGAGTAGGCTTCGGCCACCACCATGGCGAAATTCAAAGTTTCCTACCAACTGAAAATGTTTAATGTGTCCTGTGCGTTCATGTAACCTCATACAGCTGCGAGCGCCGTAAAACACTCACACAAAAAAAACAAAAAAAACAACAACTTTCGTTTACGCTTCGTGGCCTTCACTGGGGAGATCGGGGATAAGGGACGTAACTAAGAATAGAATAAATTGAAAAAACAATTAACTGAGTTTTATCCCCTTAAATTAGCAAATGCAAGGTCGTTGTACGTGTAGTGTAGCCTAGGGATACTTTCCTAGGAAAGGAGGGTTGTATGCCATTAAACGGCATTTTTAACAAGTTTTCTCCTTGCCAATGTTGAGTATGTTATAGAGGAAAGTTTTCTGGTTCTAATGAGTCACCAAAATCATCTTTGTTGCATTTTTTATTCTTACCCCCATAGTGAAATACACAGCTAAAGTTATTCTCCTAAGTGGAGGGCTATGTCGTTCAAGAGAGTATAATAATAATGGCCACAAAGAAAGGTCTAGAAATAATATATCAGTTTAACCCTATCCGTACGTCGTTTTTTACTATCGTATCCATACGACGTGGGGAACTCTGTGCCACCACTTTCCAAAGGGGAAATTTACTCGTTAATCCGATCCGTACGCTTTGCATAGCAGTCTGTCAAAATGAATTTTTGAGAAATTTTGAAAGTTTCAAGGAGATCTTCAAACTAGAAGTATTCTAAAAAGTGAAGAATACAACCCCGGGGTACAAACTTACCCCAGGGCGTACGGAAAGGTTTAATAATACAAGAAGTAGAAAGGCCAGAACTCAGGACACAGCAAAGTGCCCCCTTCCCTTTGACTTTTGATTCACTGCGGAGAATTTCGGTCACCTACTTCTGCCAGG